AAGTTTCTGGTAATTCCCAGCAATCAAGAAGGAAACCACAAAAGGCTGAAGGATAGGCTCTTGGAGCATGGGTGGAGAGAAGGTGGAATGAGCAGGACCCCAGACTTAGTCAGGTCTCCAAGCAAGCGAGCACAGCCTCCTTGTCTCCTCCTCCATTTGCAACACTGTCCAGTTGAAGTTTCTGTAAAGATGGAAAAAAAATGTGACACATAATATATGACAATTGATCACTTGACATGTGCAACAAGTGTGGCTGAGAGACACTTTTTGGACTCAATTTTAAAAACAACGTGTGCCTAGTGACTCCCCTCTTGGGCAGCACAGCTCCAGCACATGGGCCCACCTCAGGTCCCCTCAGTCACCTTCAGTGTTGACCCAGGCCTTATAAGGAGGCCTTGCTGGTCCCTCCTCAGGGAGGCAGGAATCGGCCTAGCTAGGACCCTTTTAAGGATCAGACGTTGCCCAAGCTTCTCCTTCACCTGCCCTCTCCATCCATAGATCTAGCATTTTGCCTGCTGCTGCCCACTGGGTACCCTACAGCTCCCCCTTCTTTTGAGGAGAGTGCCTCATTGGAGTGGGAGGTCTTGGGCAACTGTTTATAACATTGCATCATTTTGCAAGGATTAATTCTCTGTCTGTTTTTGTCCTCAGATATATTCACTCCAAAGAGAAGCCTTTCAAATGTCAAGAGTGTGGGAAAGGATTCTGCCAGTCCAGGACTCTCGCTGTCCACAAGACGCTACACTCACAGGTGAAGGAGCTCAAAACCTCCAAGATCAAATGCTAAATGGTCTCCGGGCACCAGGACCCGGGGTCACACCGCATTCTCCTCCAGAGGGACCAGAAACTGAAGGCGACTCTGGCTCCCGGGACTTTCCCCCATCCCCAACACGTCCCCAGGGCCCGGGCGCACGCGGAACTCCAGAGCCCCGCCCAGGGCCGTGACCCGGCCACCCGGCCGCTCCCCCAGGACGCGGCTAAACTCTTGGCCAAAAGGCTGTACTCACGTGGCGGAAGAGAAACTGCCTTTGAAAATGAACGAAAGCCTCCGCGGAGCCTCAGCGGCGCCTTTCCCAGAAGTATTACTTTTTCTATTGTTATTTTATACGTTTTCTCTATTATTTTTTTCTTTGACCATATAAGCTTGTAAAGTCTGCCTGCCGAGAGAGTGGGGAGAGGAAAACGTTCTGCGCGCTCGCATCCCCCCACCCCTCCCTGCGCCCTCATTCCCGCCCCGGGAGCCTGCAAAAGTGTAATCCGTGTATCTGCTTCAGCCGCCCGCCAGAGCCTGCAGGCCGGCGCGCCCCCTCCCAGCACCCGTCGCGCAGTGGGGCTGCGGGCTCCCGGCTCCGGGACTCCAGGCCGGCTGGGGCCTTCGGCCCCGGGCTGCAGGGGGCCCCGCCGACGGCACCCCTGCTCCGGGGCTCCGGTACCTCGAGCGGGCAGCCGGCTAGGAGCAGGGCGGTGTATTGCGATTGGCACTTTATGCTGACCATCGGTAACGGACATTTATCACTGGAGTTTTTTAAAAAATATTAAATAAACGGTTATTTTACAGGCATCGCAGGATGGATAGCTTCCCTCTCAAATGCGGGAAACTGGATGGCGTCTTTCTTTAAGAGGAGCAGGTTTCTCTGCCCACTCCAACTTGTCGCACTTCTGGAACCTTCGCCTTACTGGGGTGAAAGGGTGGAGATGGGTGGAGAAGCCCCCTTTCTCCCTGTGCTGGTCTACCTCGGACCCCACCCCATATTTTTTTCTTACTTTTCTCCTCCACTTGGGTCTTAGGATCTGTCTCCCCACTCCTCACCTCCAAGGGGTCATAAATTAACAAAGAATCCAAGCTGGAGGCCATGAGAAATCTCAACATCTTCGGGTGCCAGGGTCGCTTAGGGTCCACTAAAGGAATGGAATGTCACCCATCTCACCAACCAAATACCTCTCCCCTGGCCCGTTGCTCCTGCTTGAGGGGGGGAAGGAAAAGCCCTCACAGACAGTCTCAGACGAAATACACAGTCGACGGTGTTGCCCCCAAACCCCAGCCTACGTCCCTCCCTCGGTTAGGATCCCCCAGACTCTGGCAGGGGCTTGTCCTCCGCCCAGAGCATGGTTCCACGCCCGCGAAGAATCCCTACAATTTAAAGCCTTGTCAGGAATGGCGGGGGCGGGCGCCCTGGGAGGCCGGGAAGTTTGGGAGGAGAAACCTGAGTCCGCCCTCCGCAAGTTGAACCTTCCCCCGGGGCGTCTAGTTTTCCCACAATTAGAGGCCAGGACGCTGGGGGCTCTCCTGCTTGGGGCGGGGCGGGACTCCCCCAGCTTCTGCGTCCTGTCCGCGGGGCGGCGCAGACGGTGGCGCCCGCGGCCTTTCCCAAGCCGAGCGCGGCCTCTCCAGCTTCCGTGCCTGGCGCTCAGCGGCCGCGGCGACCGCTGGGCCGAGCTCCCCGCCTCGGGGATCCCAAATCCCTGCTTCAGGCAGAGCCCTGCGGCCAGAGAAAGCGGGTCGGGGCTGGAGGAGTTAAAACGCTCTAGCCTGTCCCTGCGCCATGCCACCTCCTGTGGGAACTTCTCCGCTCCAAAGCGGGCTCGAACTCCGCGGTTCGGGAACCCAAATCCTCACAGTGGGCTTCACCTCGCTGGAGCAGAAGAGCCCTACCCTCCACGTTCGGAGCTACGCTGCCCCCTGCTGGACAGGCCTGGAGGGGCGGCCTAGGACTCGGGGCTCTTCCATGTCCTTCTTACATCTCGGTGTTAACTCTCCGCCGCAGCCCCTGCCCGCCGCTCATCTAGAAGTCTGCTCTTGTCCTAAAAAACCTTCTTCAGGGGTCCCAGGGCTCACTGCGAATGAGAGACAAGCCGCAGGCGGTTCTGGACCAGCCTTTGTGATCTCCGCTAGTAGGGCAAGATTCCAGTACTTGCACTCAGGTCCACACGGACGCTCCCGAGAAGAGAACGGAGCCCAGATCCCTGAGAACTGTGACCCCTGGGATTATCGAGGGAGGGTTACTCAGTGGGCTTTGGGCTTCGAGCGCTTGGGCTCGGCCGGCAGCTTGCCATGCTGCCGCTTGGCATCTGCGCTTCGCCATGACTTGTGTTAAGGCCCATGGACCCGCAGGAGCCACGTCTGTTCCTTTACTAGTCCCGGGAAGTTGGGGGATGGAGGATGTGTGTGTGGTTGCTCCAAGACCGCGACAGTGCGTGGGCACACACACACACACACACAACCACCATGGAGAGCTGTGGGCACCTCTAAGACCCAAGAGACAGCCTCACTCGGTCTCTCTGCCCTCTCTGGGGTTCCATCTTTCTCTGGGATAGATTACTGCTGGGGTGGCCTCGCTCCTTGCATTCCGCCACCCCCCACTCACTTGGGACACACAGCCTTCGCAGTTAGCCTGGCCTCAAGGGCTTTGTAAAGACCATGAAATGGAGAGATTTGCGGACTTTTTCCTTTCTGCCCCACCTCCCCTCTAATGCCATGAAACCCCGCCCCTCATTCCTAGGCCCTGCAAAGGAGACTTTCAATATCAGGTGTGCATCCTTGAAAGAATCGATTCCCAGCGCAGTTTCTGAAGGGGGTTGGGAGTGGGGCAGGGTGCTGCCTAGACCGGTGTACTCACAGTACCTCCTCCTTGCCTTGCTTTACCGACCATTGCTGTTATCCTGGTGGACAAAGCAGCCACTTCTCAGCATAGCTTGATGCGATCTATGCTCGTGACAGCGATTTCATAGACTATGAAATCAATGAAACTGCAAGTGAAGGGCAAGATGGGGCTGCGGACCACCAGGCCCCCTCCCAGGCTACAGTTCCCTAGCGACATGGTTGGGAGCAGTTTCCCCCTTGCAGTCTGGGGGTCGCATGAAAAAGCAACGAGAGCGGCGGAAATGCTGTGTGGGTTTTATTGCCCTCCTACTCTGCAGGGGCCAACTTTCACTGGCTACAACCCTAGAACTTCCCTTCCATCCCTCATCCCCATCAGACTTTAAGCTTCTCCGGTCTCTGGAGCCCAGAGTAGCTGGGGCTGTTCTTCCCGAGCGCAGGAGGTGAGAGTTGGGCTAGGACCCTTTCCAAAGCTGCTAGGCCTGCGGTTTGTGTGCAGGACTCAGGGTTGGGGAGCTACTTGGCGGGACTCTCAACCGGACGGCTATAAGTCCCAAGAGACCCTAGGCTGGCTTGGAGCTTCCCGGTGCTCGCTCTGGAAAGAGATCAGGAGTGCCCTGGGGGAAATAACAGCCCACAGTGACTTTTCCCTAGGAGTAAGAGGTTTAGACTTCACCTCCTCCTTCCGAAATGTAGCTCAGGGGTTGGGAGGCAGGAAGGGATATTTTCCCGCCGGTCTCCCCGCCTCGGAATTCAGGGCTAGAAAAGGGTTGTGGTGGGAGGGAGAAACGCAGTAGGATGGTCCAGGGCTCCTTGGCGTCACTTGAGCCCCAAGAACGTGGGATCTGTGATATCATATCCACTCACAGCCCTGGAATCTTGGTGTTCCGATTCCAGGGTCTTTAGGGCAACCCCCGCCCCCCGCCCTACAGGCCACAGAGAACTATGGCGTTGTGACTTCACCGCATTCTCCTGCTAATACAGAGATGTTACAAAGCTTCTGGCAAGAGCTCGGTGAGGTCTGCAGCGGTATCTCATTTACGTAGTTCTATGACGTCACAGATGGACCCCAGTCTGGAGGGTGACACCACGGATTCCACATTTCCAAGCCCCGCCCAGCCCCGTGAATCCTCCCGTAGGCGTGTCAAGAATCGTTTCGTCCCCACGGACAGGATCCTCAGGCCTGAAGAGTTGGCAAGGGCCTAAAGGAGAGAGGGTGCCCAGCAGCGTCCCCCTCCGGAATCTAGTGTCTTAGAATGGTCTCGCTGCCCGCGGAGTTTCAAGTCTCTAGCTGCCGCAGGACACTCGCTCCGTCCACCAATCCTCGTCCTCCCCATCCGCCTCCCCGCCCACTGCGCAAGCTCCGTGCGCAGGCGCAGAATGAACTCACTGTCCAGCGCTGGGGGCCCTGGAGAGCGGTGCGCGGCCGCAGACCCTGGCTGTCGCTGCTGGCTTTAGTGTGTCCGGCCTTTCAGAGACCACAAACTCAGGCAACGGGCTCGGTGGGCGCATCCAGCTATCGGAGTATGTGAGCGCTGCAAATGCAGCTGAGGAAGAGGGCAGCTCCGGGTTAACGCGGGCTGGAGACCCTTGCAGTCCCTGTTGGCGTCTCGAATCCAGCGCAGCCGTGGTCGGACGGAGGTCCCTAGGCTTTGGGTGGGCAGGGAATGGGCGGCCGGGCACTGCCCTAAACAGACGTACAGTGCGGCCTCAGCCTTTTCAGGCGGGGTCTCTGACGCAGAGGTCTCGGCCCCCGGCCGAGGCACACACCTGGTCAGGCGCCCTACCCGTTCAGCCCGGCGTTCTGGGCTGCCGCTAGAGCCAAACTGATGGTTGGGCCCGAGTCTGCATATGTTTCAGATGAAAAATTCACTGTGGACAGGAAGGGTCAAACCTCATGTCAGTAGCAGAGGAAGAATGAGAAGCTGTGTTTCCTTGGAGGTTAGGGTACTGAAGACTCATTTCTAGCTTTTCCTGTCATTTACAAGTTTTGGGCAAGTCCCTGCATTTCTCCGAACCTCAGCTTTCTTCCTATAAGGGGGATAATACTCTTCCACCAACCTCATTCAGTTGAGATCATAGTCGTGCATCATTTTGCAGTCATTTGTTCACGATTTGAACCAAAACTGGCCCCAGTGTGTTGCAGAACAACTTTGGCATTTATGAAGCACCATGTAGAAGTATTGTTAGAAATGAGTCTCTCAGCATCCTGAAGTAGGCTGCCTCCCAAGTGGGCTTATTCCTAGGAGAGTCTTACCCTATCTCCACTCTCTCATAACCCAGGGATCCTGAAATAGAAGGATATTGCCTGGACTGATGGTCTTGAAGCCTCTTGCAACAATTGAAATAAGACATTCTTAACTCCATGGAGACAAATGGATGAATCAGTTCACAGATTATCATTATGTTCGTGTTGAGAGGAAGTCGGGTGACAAAATGTAAGTGCCCTATTCACAGTCCTTTGTGGCATATGCCTAGAGAGAAGAAAACAACCTGGGGCAGGCTGAGGTGTAGGGCAGAGACAGGGGCCTGTCTATGTGGCAAGTGTGACGGAAGAGGTAGTAGGGGTCTTTCACTCTACAGGTACCCCTACTACAATCTCCTTTGGATTTGTGCTTGCTTTGACTTGTGCTAGAGCATCCTAACCTAAAGAAAATATAGTTACACAATGCTGTCATGTGGGACCCAGCCACCTGAGCCCTGGTTACCTGCTACTATTCTTGACCATTTTTTTCCTGGCCAATGGTAGTTTCAGCTCTAGCACTGAAAATACAGAAGACTAACCAAGAAAAGTGGGATGAATGGATGAATGGTTTGAGACGTTTGTTTCTCTGTTCCAAACACTGAATGGGATCTTAGCAGCTCAGCCATCTCTGGGGAGGTATAAAGCATAATTTGTTTTCAGTGTTTGGTGAGATTGCACTATCTTGCTAGTGGGATTAGATAAGGAGTTTTGTCATAGGAGGGTAAGGATGGTTTACTTTTTGTACTTGGCAGGATGGGGTAGTACTTGGGCCCTGTAGGTAGATGGTGGCATGGGATGAGAAACTTTACAGGAGACATGGAAGAAAGCTAGAGGAGATGAGGCAGGAATGGCTAGATGCTCTTCCTCTCAAAAGAGCAGAGGAGAGATGAACTTCCAGAGAATTGGGGCCTTGTCTTAAATATTGAGGTTTACTTGGGAGGCTGGTTCACTTATTAACCTGGCTCAAGAGCTTAATATCTTTGTGCATTCAGAGTTCAGAATAGCTTCAGTATCTCACAGCATACATAGCTTGTCCTGTAGGTCTGCAGTAGGCCAATAACCAGACCAGGTATGGTACTGTAGCTATCAGGAATATTCTCTGTGGCTTTGTCACTGGAGAGATCAGCCAACACTGAAATATTTGAGCAGAGACATTCTGAGGTACATGTGGCAGCTTGAAGAGTTCTTGTTAACTAGGCATCTAGGCACAATAGAATCCACCTTTTTAATTATAAAGTTCCTATCTTCTATATTCTTTTTAATTTTTCAATTTCTTTGTGTATTAACTCCTAAGTTTGGTACTTTTGTGCATTAACAACTCCTACCATAATGATAGAATTGTTGTATTCTTGTAGTACATATATGTATTTCAAAAATAAAATGATTCCCAAAATACATATAGCTCCAAATTTGCTTGATTCTTCACCATCACTACCACCACCACACTTCTCACCATTCCTGGGCCTTAGCTGCTTACATAAGGGGCATTAAGTCTTTTGAACGTTAGGTAGCTGCTGGAAAAACAGATTATCCTCATATGGGACTCCTCAGTTTGGTGGTGGAGAAAATGGGAATGGCTGGAGCTTTACCAATATGGGAAAAACATGAGGCATGGCTATGGCTTCTCCATCCAGGGGGCAGGGCAAGCTTTTGCCCCTGGCAAATGACAAGTTTTATTTTAATTATCACAAGTATGTCTTTAAATGGGCCAGGGAGGATTGAGGGTGCTAGGGGAGGGTGTTAGATTTTGATATGTTCTCTCAGCTTTCTTCTCCAATATTTTAGTTTAAGTAAATATTCAGGCATACAAAGAAATTGAAAGAAATTTATGGTAGATACCCAATTACCCTCACCTAACTGCCACAATTTACATTTTACTGTACTTGCTTTATCACATACGTATCTATCAATCTATCCCTCTAACATTTTTAAAATGAAAATTTACAGACTGATAATTGAAAGAATAGTACATGGAACATCCTAGGTCTTCCTCATAGAGTCAACAGTTGACAGTGTTTTGTTATATTTATTTCTCTCTCATGGTCTTTCTCCCTGAACCATTTGAAGGTTAATACTAGATTTCCATTATATTTCACTCTTAAATACTTCAGCTCACATCTTTTAGGAGTAAAGGTATTATTCTATATGACCAAATTATTGCACCAAAGAAAATTAATACATTTATCTAACATCACTAAATGTCTCATTTATATTAAAGTTCTCCAAATTTTCCAACCTTTTGCATTAAAAAAAATCAGACTTTAAAGTAGATTTTCACATTGCATTTATGTCTTTAGCATATTTTAATCTTGAACAGTACCTGTTTGTAAAAACTTTATATTTTGAAATAATTACAGATTTATGGGAAGTTGCAAATATAGTAGGGAGAGGTTTCATGCACGGTTCACCCATTTTCTCCCAATGGTTATATCTTGCATAAGGATAATACAGTAGCATAATCAGAAAACTGGTATTGGTATAATGTATTTTTTCACAAAAATAGCAATAGTAATAGGTAGATTCCTTAATCAAAACACCACAGTCAAGATACAGAACTATATTGTCATCACAAAGATCTTCCTGTGTCAGTTTTACCAGTTTGAATGAATATAGAAACCTTACCTTCTGTGATAGAGTGAATGCTAGTGTCCCCCACCCCCTATCTATGTTGAAATTCTAACTGCCACTGTGATGGTACTAGGAAATGAGGCCTTTGGGAGGTAATTAGGTCATGAGGGTAGAGCCCTCATGAATGGGATGGGCCCTATAAAAAGAGTCATGAGAGAGTTTTCTTCCTTTTTGTCTGCTCTCCATCATGTGAGGACACAGCAAGAAGATGGTAATATATAAACTAGGAAGACCACCTTCTCAGACACTGACTGGATCTGCTGGCACCATGATCTTAGACTTCTAGATTCCAGAGCTGTGAAATGTATGTTGTTTAAGACAAAGAGTCTATGGTATTCTGTTATAACAGCCTGAACTAAGACACCTCCTTTTAAGCCCTTTTATCCTCCCTGTTTATGACATAATCATCCTAAGTATTTCCTGTACATACATTGAGATCCAAGTCAGACAATGCTGTAATTTTTGTTTCAAACATCAAACATAATTTAGACAACTCAGTGAGTCTTGGGAGGGAAAGTCCATTTTATTTAGTCACATTTTTGCTTCTTCCATTGTTATTTCTTCCAGGTTTCCTCCTTTTATCATTTCTGTTTTGAGAACTTCTTTTAGCCATTATTTTAGAGTGGGCCTGGTAGTGAAAAATTCCCTTCATTTTCCTTCATCTGAGAATGTCTTTAATTCTCCTCCATTATTGAAGGACAATTTCGGCAGGTACAGAATTCAGGACTGACAGTTCTTTCTTTCCAGCATTTAAAAAATATGCTACTTTCTTCTGGATTTCTTGTTCTGATGAGAAATCTATTGTTTGAATTGTTTTCCCCTTATACGTAAGGTGTCATTTCTCTCTTAACTGCTTTCCAGATAATGTCTTTGTTGTTAATTCCTTAATTTTCATAAGTTTGGTTGTGATGGTTCTTGGTATGGATTTCTTTGGGTTTATCCATTTTGGGGTTTACTCGGATTTTTAAATCTATAGACTTATATCTTTTTCTATATTGGAAAAATGTTCAATTTCTCCAGATACTTTTTTCAGCTTCACTCTCTTTCTCCTCTATTTCTTAGACTCCAATGCCACAAATATTACTACTTTTGTTATTCTCCCATAGGTTTTTGGGGTTCTGTTCATGTTTATGAGTCTGTTTTCTCCCTGTTGCTCAGTTTGGGTAATTGCTATTATTCTATCTGCCAGTTCACTGATTTTTTTTCCTATGTCCCTTCCATTCTGCAGTTTAGGTTTTAAAATTTTTCAATGATTGCATTTGTTAATTAAAAAATTTTCCATATGGTTTTTCTTTCAATGTTCTAATTGTTTGCTGAGACTTTCTATGTTTTAGTTGTTTCAAGGGTTCATAATTGCTCATTGAAGTATTTTTATGATGGCTGCTTTAAAATTCTTGTCGACAATTCTAACATCCATGTCATCTTGATGCTGATGTCTGTTGATTGTCTATTCTCTTTCAAGTCAAGATTTTCCTGGTTCTCAGTCTGCCATGTGATTTCTAATTGTACCCTTGAAATTTTTGGTATTATAAGACTCTGGATCTTATTTAAATATGCTTTAGCAAATCTCCTCCAACTTGCTGTGCTGGCAGGGGTAAATGGAGGTGCCGTTTTGCGACTACCATATGTGGGTGAAGGTCCAGGCTCCCCATTTGACTTCCCTTGATGCCTTGGGAGGAGAGGGGCTCTGCATTACTAATTGGTAGAGATGAGTTTTCAGGTTCCCCACTAGACTTCCACTGACACCTGCTGGATTGGTGAGAGGTCTCTTTGTTGTTCCCGCATGTCTTCTACGAGGGGTAGGTGGAAGGCCTCGTTACCTCTGGGTGGTGGTGTGAGTTTGGCTTTCCACTCACGCTTCTCAGATATGCTTGGGTGGGGCAGGGAGGGGCACCTTTTCATGGCTGGACAAAGAAGTCCAGGCTTCTCGCTCAGTCTTTGCTGATGCGTAATCTGTGGCTTTTGGAATATCTTCTTGTGTAAATGAACCAGTGTCAGCCTTATAGAGGTACATACTAAGTGAGGAGAGAATTCTCCCCAAATTTTTCAAATTCGCATGTTCTGGGATCACTTTTCCTTTTATTGTTCTAAGATAATACTAGGTTGCCGCTCTAATGTGTTGTGGTCTTTTAAATTTCATAATGTAAAATTATCACTTTGTGCTTTGACATAAAATGCTTTGGAGCAGTATTACAAAATAACAAAACCTTTATTTACTCTCAAATGTTGGTCTTTAGGGTCCCTGTGGATGATAAAGAACAATTGATGTTTTTAGATTAGCTGTAATGTCTTGAGTTTTGACCAGTAAAACTGACCCAGTCTTTATGAAAAGAAAAAGTCTAATGTATATAGTAGCTGGGCACATGGATTTCTTTTTCACCCTACTCCCTTGCCTAGTTTACAGATAATAATTTTTAATATAAATTTGTCCATAGAATTGTAAGCCTCCTTAAATTTTAGGCAAGTGGAATTTCAGGAATCTATCTAAATTTTCCTAAAATACTAGGTTAGTTTCCTTCACTGTCAGAATATTTCCTAAAGGGATAGGATATTTTAAATTGTGCC